GTCACCCCGCCGGTCAGCCCGTCACCCCACCAGCCCGTCACCCCGCCAGCCTGCCTGTCACCCCGCCGGCCTGCCCGTCACCCCGCCGGCCTGTCCGTGACCCTGCCGGCTAGCCCGTCGCCCCGCCGGCCAGCCTGTCAACCCCCAGCCTGCCTGTCACGCCCCTGGCCTGTCCATCACCTTCCCGGCCAGCCCGTCACCCTCCCGGCCTGCCCGTCACTCCACCGGCCTGCCCGTCATCACCCCCCAGCCAGCCTGTCTGGGAACAGCCCTGCTGGGAAGCCCTATTTCAAGCGGGGGCAGGTGTGAGCACTTTGACGAGGAGCAGTTACCTGCTCGCACTCCCTATGAGGCTTTTCGGGAGATTGTTACGTGCATGGACCCATGACCTGAAATCCCGTAATGTACCGAGCGGAAATGAGATGGTGTCTCTGGCAGACCAGGGACTGAACATATGAAATGAAACGTAGCACAGCGAGCCAGACTCTGGGGTGGCTCCTCGGGCGACAGCGTTTCTCAGCGTGGGTGTCACGGGGCCATCACCTGTGGGGGCTGCGGGCACACAGCTCAGGCTCCGAGCCCTGGGAACCATCAGGATGGCTTGTGGGACCACGGTGCTGTCCCGTGTGGCTGCTTTAGAGGTTCCTGAGATTTTAGAGGCTATTAGGCCTTGATGTTTGAAAAAAGGGAAAGGGGCAGAGTTTTAGTGAAGGGGGCGCTTCTCCAGCTGCGACAGGCCCGAGGGTCGGCGAGGGAGGCGAGCCAGGCTGCAGACTGACTCACCGGCCCCAGGGCCTGCGTTTTGGACCAGCTCTGGCGGATTCTGCCGCTGCTGGTGCTTGGACCACACTGGAGAACGGTGGCACCACACGGAGCCTCACGGCCTCGTTCATGGCCTCTGTTCACTCAAGAATGCTGCGTGCCCACCGCGTGGCAGGAGAAATCATGAGTAACATGGAACTTGGCCCCTGTCCCGTTGAAGCTACTGGTGTCGTTTGGGAAACACAGACGGGTAACTGCTAACTTGCTAATGCTGTGAGCAATGTAGCGCAGCGGAGGGCAGGGGTCAGGGAAGAGTGTGGGGCAGGGGTTTGCGGGATGGATGGGGCCTGGGGGGAGGGAGGGAGCCGTGGCGCAAAGCCCCCAGGGGCACGTGGCTGGAACACTGGGGGGGGGAGAATACCTCCTCGTGACCAGGGGAGGTGCAGGACCTGGGAGGGTGGGAGCAGAGCGCCGGGTCAGCGGCCGGCCTGGTGGTGTAAGGCCCCTGTGCGCACCATGGGGATGTGGGGACTGAAGGCTCTCCTCTCCCTACAGGAAGTTGTGCACGTTTCCTCGGACACACGCGCCCCTGCAAAGTGTGAGCACAGATCCTACGCCTGACCTTGGGCCCAGGAAACCGAGATGTGCCCCGGACTGCCCACCAGAGGGCGGCCTGAACCGCGTAGCAGGTGCCGGCACAGGATTCTCCTGCTGAAAGTCCTGGAGACACAGGGCTGGCGCCGGAGAAGCCGGAAACCGTCACAGAGAGGGCTGGGTACGCCAAATGTCCCCTTCCCCTCCCTCAGCTTGGTGGGTTTCCAGGGGAAGGAGGTACTGAGCTCCCTCCCTGATCTGTGTCGGGTGCAGAGCGTGGACGGGACATTGGGATAGCTGTTCTGTGGCGTCCATTTCCTTCTGTTGGTGGGGGTGCGGGTAACAAGGAGACGGAGAGCCCCATGACCTCAGAGCTCCGAGGGTCAGCCAGTGACCTGCCGTAGGCTCCGCCTGGAGACTGCCACCCTGACCTCCCCGGCCAGTGACCCGCCCTCTGCTCGTCATCTCAGCCCCTGAACAAATGCTCTGGTGTTTCCGCACGCCAAACTTGGAGCGGCCGGTTGGAGCCACAGCTCCTGTCTTGTCCTGGACTCAGCTCGCAGGAGTAGACAGGCTGCCCCACCTGGACCCCGGTCCCCTCAGCAACATGCTGCTCAGGAGCGCACCCGGAGGGGCTGCTTGCTGGGGTCTCGCTCATTCCAGCCTGGGGTGTCCAGGTGTCGGAGGTTGCCGTCGGCCAGCACGTTCCTTTCTTCCTGGGAACACGGTGTGACGCCCTGGACCCCTGGGCAGGTAGGCGTGGCCGACGGCATGAGGGTGCAACGGCTGACCGTAAATCTTCCACATCAGCAGCCGTCCCCTGTGTCGTGTGCCTGGCTTGCTGTAGGCAGCAGGCTGGGGACACCGGGTCCCTGGATCGCCACGCGAGGAAGCCACGCAGTGGGGTAACGGTGAACGAGAAATAAACACCTGTTCTGCATCAGCATCCGATGCTTTTGGATGTGCTTGTTTGGGCTGCTGGCTTCGTCTTACCTAAAACAGGCTTTCTTTCAGATCCGGGGAGAGAGCCGAGCGAAGAGAATCACAGGGCAGCCATCCCCACTGCATGGCGCCGGGACTGCGGCTGGCCCGAGTCGATGCAAGAAGACAGTGTCCCTTAGGGTCCCCGAGAGTCCCCTCCCCTGAGATGCCATCTCCAGAACGGAGACATGGGTGCAGAATCTCTGGAGGAGGCCGTGTCCGGCCCTTCTGCTAAGCAACTCAGGGTTTATCCGAACGCTCAGAAATCAGAGATTACTCTTGGAGGTCACCGCCCTCACGGGTCTGCTCTGCCAGTGCACAGTTTATGGCCAAATGATGACCAGGCCTGGCTGATTGTAGTGTCGTAAATTCACAGGACAAGTTCGTGGAGACCTTGCCAAGGGTGTGCCGCTTGGCCGTTGCATCACATCTAGTTGTGGGGAGATGGGGGTGGCCAGCTTGGCTGAGAACAAAGTATGCGTAAACATTTTCCCCCACTGATATCAAGCATATTAGTCAGTCCCTTGGTTGCGAACCGTAGATTGACACGGACTCTCTTGTGCAAAAAGGAACATTTTGAAAGAATGTTGAGAGTTCGCAGAATTGTCGGGGGGCTGGAGGGTCGGGCTTGGGTAACAGAGCCAACCAGGGTGGCTCAGGAAGGCCGGGCTGGAGGAGTCGCAGCTGAGGCCAGGATGTGAGCGGCCTGCCCGGTGTCTCTTGGGATGCGAAGGCCGGAGAGGCGCCTCGCCCCTGGAGCTGGACCTGCATACGGAGGGGTCTTGGGAATATCATTCTTTCTCAGGCTTTCAGGCAACGGGGGGTGGGGTGGTGAGGTGGGGGGCAATCTCAGTCCTGAGCACAGCCCCTGGGCATAAACACCCTTGTCTCCATTTTACAGATGAGGAAACAACGCTTCACAGGCCACAGAGGGGGCTGTTCGGCTAGCAAGGAGCAGAGCTGGGGTTCACACCCAGGTCTTGTCTCTCCTGGGCCTGTGCTGCCATTGCATTTACCATCCAGTGTGAGGATCGCCGGGGGTCAGCCTTGACTTGGAATATGCTCTCCTTTTGCTGGGAGAATTTGGAATGAGACTCTACATTTTGGATCAAGATAACGCACAGGCAGTAAAAGTAAGCTGCAGGGGTCAGAGGTTAAATTTCCCCATGGGGAGGCGATTTTGGGAAAAGCTGGAGGGGTTGGAGGGGCCAGGGAGGGAGGAGAAGGGAGGAGGGTAACCTGGCCCCAAAGTGAGCTGCTATCATCATCAAATATTCCCCTAATTGCAAAAAAATTAAGGGACTGAGGGATGCCAGGAAAATAAAGTACAAGTGTACTAGGCGTTGGCTTTTTGGCAAAGCAAATTTGTCTGTAATCATTTTTTTAAAAGATATGAAAGGAATTGCCTCACACAATGATCCCTTAAGCCTGGCTTTCATCTGTTTCTGGAGAAACATTGCATTTTGAAGGGATCCACATTAGCTGAAGGTGGTGAATTTGTCTGTTAATTGCTTTCTATTATAAATCTAAGCAACATTTAACACCACGAGGGAATGCAGACTTATCAAGGAAGCTAAAAGTAGAAATCGTCTTTTTCTGAGTTGCAAGTTCTGTTTTCCTCATCGAGAATGGATGTCTTCACATCTTCGTAGAACACCATTTTTTTTTATGGGGGCATAGGGCAGAGGGAGAGGGAGAGAAAGAATCTTAGGGAAATCCCACGCCCCGCATGGACCCCGACGTGGGGCTCAACCTCACAGCCCTGGGATCAAGACCTGAGCCAAGATCAAGAGTCAGATGCTCAACCGACTGAGCCTCCCAGGCGCCCCCCAGAGCACCACTTTGTATCACTTAGGGGGGTCACGGGAGTGAGGCCTAAGGAGCTCCAAGAGCCTCGCAGGTGTGTGCGTCTTGAAAGGCGTGGCGGGGCAGAGACCGGTTGACCTCCCCCTCCAGGTGGGGCTCGGCGGTGCTCAGCTCTGCCGGAGTGGTTAATCCTGAGCATGGACTGGGGAGGGGCTGAGGTGGCCACGCTCACTGCCTCAGGCATTTAAATGACTGTGATGATCTCTGCGCCGGGTGGTTTTATTTTCTTTGTCAAATCACTTTCGTAAATTGGTCCATACTGCTCCCTTCACAGAGCCTGAAAACTGGCAGGCCTCAGGCCTTCTTTGGACTGCACACATCTTTTCAGAATATTCACATTAGCTGGCAATGTTGGACCATACAAAGGTTTTAAACAAAATTTAGAATTTCCAGCTTCTCCAAAAAAACAAAAACAAAAAACCCCAGAGAAATCAGAAGTCTTGCAAAATGGAGCCCTCACGTGTGCCTTGTGGAAAGAACCCTATTCCCAGGACCGGTGTGTCTCCTCCCAAGCACGTCCTCCTGCTTTCTGACCCTCTGGGACCCAGCAGCTCTCCCTTAGGGTGTTACTGTGGCAGACACGGCCGGTCCTCACCTTCCCAGCAACGTGTGTGAGCTCAGACTCTCCCGTGTCCTCGCCAACACTTGGGGTAGTCAGCCCGTGTTGTTTTAGCCATTCTGGGGTGTGCAGAGTGGGAAATCACGCTGGTTTTAATTCGTATTTCCTCATGACTAATGATGTTGCTCAGTCGCTTGTGTGATCTTTGGCCATTTGCACCTCCTCTTTTCGGAAGCCTCATGGTCCCAGAAATGGCTCTCTACCCTGAGTTTTCCAGCTTCTTCCTGCCTCCCAGAACCAGCTCCTCACACCCCTCCCAGGGACACCAGGCCTCCCCGGGCAGCCCCTGATCCGTAGAGGCCTGCCTCCCAGAACCCGACTGAAGCCGGAGGGCAAGAGATCGCTTGTTGATCCGGTCTCTATGCGTCAGGCTCCTTCCACACGGAGCGTAAGGAACGCTCACGGGAACCTTCTGTCGATTCCCGTCCGCTGACTCAAGCCTTTGTGTGTGGCCCGGAGGCAGAGCAGACGTGGGGGCTCTCCCGGCACAGGGTAGTGGGTGGGCACATGGGAGAGTTTTGGGGAGCCGTGGGGGCAGGACCCATGTAAACACTGAACACACCATCCTACGCAGCGCTGGGGCCCATTTGCCGAAGCAAAGCCTCTGCAGAACTGCACTGTATGAAGCAGGTCAGACTACCCACCGCCCAGCCCCTGCCTGGGCACCACGGCTCCTCCCACAGCTGCGAGCGGGGAGAGGTGCCCTCAGCTGCACGCGGCCTGCAGCTGCTTGCCACACACCGCTTCTCTCCTGCCCGCTGTCCCTCGCCGCTGGGCCCCGGCTGTCCCGCCAGCAAGGCTGTGGATGCCCCGGGTCAGGAGTCACGCGGTGGGCCAATCCACGTCCCTTCTCACCCCCCGTGAGCAATCACGCACCGTCCTTGAAACGTGTTTCCGACTGATGGCTAGTTCCCACGAGGGCCCAACCGGACAATACAAAGTGGGGACTTTGGTTTTCCAAACACCCGTTTCTGACTAAAGAAGGCAGACGCGGAGTGGGGCAGCTGACGTTTCCCCAAACAAGCAGTTATTCATCTGAAGAATCTCATGCTAAATATAGACATGGAGAGAGGTCAGGAGCTTTAAGAACATATGGCATTCTTTCATCTGCTATTTTAAAGTCTTCAGATTGGTAGAGAATGGTCTTTGTTTTCTGCATGTAAGCCGAAGCAAGAGGTACTCCTGGTTTGTGTGGTTTGGGAGGAGGGGCTGCCTCTGCCATTCATCTCAAATTCCTGAATGTTGTAAGGTGGAATTATGTATATATGGAAAAAAAAAAGAAGCATGTAACAGCTGGTTTCTTTCTTTCTTTTTTTTTTAAAGATTGGTTTATTTACTTGAGAGGGAGAGAGAGCACAAGCAAGGGGAGAGGCAGAGGGAACGGGAGAAGCAGACTCCCCACTGAGCAGGGAGCCCGATGCGGGGGCTCGATCCCAGGACCCTGAGATCATGACCTGAGCTGAAGGCAGACGCTTAACCATCTGAGCCACCCAGGCGCCCCTAACAGCTGGTTTCTTAAAATGAAATGCCCTACTATGTGCTCCAAACTTTTATAAAACAGGATTTTAATGGCCTACGTCATGTGTGGGACGCATACTTCCTGTAAAGATGTGAAATATTACATACAAGGGCCTCCGACTTCTGACCCCCTCCTCTGTTTCCAGAGGCGTATTCTCCTCTCTTTCTTCCCAGAACTTTCCTGTGCCTCTACATACCTTTATGTGTGTACCAGAGAGAAAGTGCATGTGTCTGTGTGTGTTTTTACACGAATGGTGTCACATTATTCCGACGGTTCTGTCACTCGTTTGTTTTCACGCGGCTTGTCTTGGAGAGTCTCCGCGTTAGCACCTGCAGATCCTTACTCATTCTTTCGGCTGCTACGCAGTCCTACAAAATAGGAATGTTTATTCTGCCAGTTCTGAAGAATTTGGGGGTGGTTCTGAAGCCTCTAAAATTTATAGTTTGATGACTTGCTTCCATTACCAGGGAAGAAGTAATCTTGGATTTCTTTACATTTCCTAAAATCCCTATCATGTTGAGGATTTCGCCCCTTAAATATCTGCAGCAAGCCAGGGTTCCCTGGGGTAGTGTTCTCTCCTGGAGGTGCCCCTTTGTCCTTTATATTCGTTTGCATAAACTAATCAGGCTTTCTCTCCCATTCCTTGTTAACTGAGATTTAGGTGGTTGCGATTTCTCTGTGGTGTTTATCGGAAATGAGTCTGAAGACATAGTCACAATGAGTCAGAGAGGGAGCCCACGCCTGGAGCTGCTAATGACTTCCCACAACTTTCCAGCGTGAGCAGAGGGGCTGAGGAAAAGACTGACGTGGGGAGGGCAAAGCTGCGGGACAGGACCTCAGGCCAGTTCGCACGAGCTCCTGGATGCAGCTGTGCCTGCAGCCAGCAATCACCACTGGCGTTTTCCTCTGCTGGACCAGTCATACGTTTTCCTTTCGGGGCCAGCAAACGGGTCGGCAGCAGACACGGCCCTCCCTGACAGAGCTCCGATGTCAGATTTTGTCACTATCTTGGTATGTTTCTTTTCTGGTTTCAGCATCCTTCACAAAGTTGTTTTTCTCCTTGATACCATGTTCCTCTTCACTATGTATTTCAACCTTGCAAAAGACCAAATTGCGACAGTATATTCAGGTTAAATCATTACTTGTTTGACTGCATAATGGTTACTATGTATATACTTGTTTATTAGTTCCTGTTTGGCGTAGCTAACGTGGCAAAAAACAATCTAGCAAGAATTCTTTTCTATGCAACCATGGCATAACCTATCTGGCAACACATTTTATAGTCATCTTAACTCAAGTGTGCTGGGAAAGTAACATATGGAGAAGTTTTGTTGGCTCCTCATTACATTTATGTTTTCTTGTATTCGTCATTCTTGAGTCCCTGCCAAAAGTTTATATCTAATTGCCTCTACATCATATTTTCCCCTCAACTAGAAAAAAAAGTGTGCCCTGTAAATTGTTATAAACACTTTCACTGCACAGTGATTTTGTTTTCTTGTTCCACATGGACTCGCAAATTTAAAATTCTTCGTAAGGCGCCTTGGACTTTATTTCAGGCAGAGCAAAGTGTGAGTGGTACTATTTCTCTCCTAATGAGAGTATGCTGGGCATATCGGCCCACTGCTCCCATGCTTTATTATTGTGGCGTACCAGAAGGGACCATTGATAAAGGCTCAAGCTGGGATGGAATACGAAGGTTTTTTTCTATTAAAGAAAGAAGCATTCTCTTGCAAGGAAAATGCCACGAGACTGGGAAGGTTTCCAAAGCCTTTGAATCGTCGCACACAAAATCACTGTAAAAACTTAAAAAGGTGCCCTTCAGTGGCACCTGTGAATGTGAGCCATGTGTCTGAGGTGAGTGAATGAGAAAGAAGAGAAAGAAAAATATTTTGCAAAATATTTTTCTTTTGGAATATTAGGACATAGTGTGGCTGTACGGTGCAGTGGTTGGAAACGTGGATGCTGGAGTATGACTTCCTGGTGTGAATCTTTACTCCCCTACTCAGAAACTGTGTGACCGTGGGAACTTAATCACCTCTCTGGGCTTCACTTCACTTCCTCATCTGCAAAGCAGTGATGACAAATTGCATATATCCCGATAGGATCATTGTAGGGATTTAATGAATTACTGTGGGTAGGCACTTCGAATAAGGTCTGCACATTGTTGCTGTGCTATAAGGGTTCACTATGAGGATGATGATGAAGATGATGGCGATGAAGGTGATGGTGATGATGATGAAGGTGATGTCTATGATGATGATGATGTAGGTGTTGTCTATGATGATGATGAAGGTGATGTCTATGATGATGGTGATGATGATGAAGGTGATGTGTATGATGATGATGAAGGTGATGTGTATGATGATGATGGTGGTGGTGGTGGTGATGTAGGTGTTGTCTATGATGATGATGAAGGTGATGTGTATGATGATGATGATGAAGGTGATGTCTATGATGATAATGATGAAGGTGATGTGTATGATGATGATGATGAAGGTGGTATCTATGATGATGAGGACAATAGTGATAAACACGGCTGTGGGAAAAGGTGACAATCTTACCTCCTTCTACCAGGACTTGGCACTACCTGGTGCAGCCTGATTGAGGAACTCCTCATTTTGAGGAGACAAAATGTCTAGGATCAAACTAGAAATATGTTTGTATTAAAAATCTCAAAAAAGGTCATGATTTCAGATATATTTTTTCCTCTTCCAGAATTTGAAAACTCCATTGCTCTGCTGCCTCTTCCATGGTGCTCAGAGGTCTTGGATTCTGCATTCCTTCATATATTCTGTGCAGCACCTGCACAGATTCAAGGCTGTTTTCCTACTCAAAGGAAAACAAGACTGGGTGTAGATGTAGTAATACTTTTGGAGCGGGGCTACAAGCAAGGGTTCTCCCCCTACTTATGTCACGGCTGTGCCTGTAGGTCTGAAGAAGATGTTTGACTCCACGCAGTAAATGTCAGTCGGCTCTGCTCGTTTATAATCAGTAGTTTATTCCTTCCTCACACAATACCCTTCTGAGTGCTTTGTGCTCCAAAGAAGTGTTTCGTTCTGATCTTGCAAATGATTTTGGAAAGATTTTCCTGACATTGTCAGTGCATACATTGGGAAAATTTTGCCCTAGGATGTGCCCCAGTTCTCAAGTGGACTTTGGCCAATCCACCATCCCCCACTACAGGCTGCGATTTGTAACCTGAACCAAATGATTTCAGAGGAATACACTTTTCAGTAGCTTAATATCATTAATTTAAATAGATTAGAAATGCTATTATTTCCTACATTTATAATTATTACTTGGCATACTCTTTGTCTGATCATCTCTAAGTACATGTATGTATGAGGGAAATAATATGCCATTATAGGTATAATTTGATAAAGGCACAGAAAAGGAACAGGTCACATAAATGATACCCATGCAACCAGCATATTAACATTAATAATAATAATTAACTAGTTTAAAATAACCTGTAAGAGAGATTACATTCAGGATTCAGGAAATAGGATCTTTTTTTTTTTCAGAAAAGATTTATTTATTTATTTTAGGGAAAGAGAGAGCATTAGCGGGGGGAGGGGCAGAGGGAGAAGCAGACTCCCCACGGAGCGCGGTGCCTGATGCAGGGCTTGATCCCAGAACCCGGAGATCATGACCCGAGCTGAAACCAAGAGTCAGGCGCTTAACTGAGTGAGGCACCCAGGTGCCCCAGGAAATATGATCTTAAATCATTGCATAAATGGTGTGTTTTCATTTAGTGATATGGAACAACTGGCAATTGCATTAAGTGTGAGAGAAAGATGAATTCAGGGTGTAAAACCTGTGTTTCCAACAATTCTGCACATTCTGAGTTAGATGACTTCTTAAGTGTGGTTAATAGACCTCCAAAATTTAGGGTCAAGGAAATAAAAATAATTTGGACGAAGACACATTAACTATGTAGGTATCTTAGTTCTGTACCTCAGACAATCCTATCTGTGGCAAACGTGAAGATACTAGATAATGACCATTAGTCATCGCTGGGCGTGTATGCTCCACAGTCCCTCTTCCCCCCAAGGCCAGGGTGCTGAGTGTTATTTCAAAAGTACAGTTTGAGCATCTATATCGGCCTCTCCATCTCAGGACCCACATTGACATGCGCGCTGTGGGGGGCTTTGGTCCTCGAAACCATCCCCCAACACAAAACAGCAAAATCCTGCATTGGACCATCTTTTTAATTCCTTTTCTGAGGAGAGGAGGAGTGTCAAACCCATTAGACAGTCAACGGCACTGCCACTTTATTTTAGAAGCAGTGCAATATGAGATAACCCATCTTCTCTGGGATTCTCATGGGCTGTAAGGCTTTATAGGAAATGGGGCCAGGCAGGAATGAAACCGAACAGCTGGGAGTTCGTCAAGCTCTTCTCTCCCAGGATTTACTAAACAATTGAGGACCAGGAATGCATAGGGATCTCTGAGCTATATTACCAACCAAATTCCAAGAGAAATTGTCTTTTTTTTTTTTTTTAATGTAACTATAGATTATCTTTTTCTGAAGTAAAGTGAGAGGTAAAAAAAAATCCCACCCTGATGAAACTTCTGCTGGCTCGAAAGGGAGAGTTTTACTAAGTTCATCTCCCTCCCCCTTTGTCACATCCACTTGCCAAAATGACATCTAATTTATTGAATTCCAAGTGACTTCGTTAAAGAACAGACTTTGGTTGGGCTGTGAGCGCTCAGAAGTTGATACTGGGGCTAATTGGGCTCTCGGGTCTCAGAAGAAAAGGTAAAAGGGGAGGACCTTTTTATTCTGGAAAGATTCATGATAGCTGTACGAGGAAGAGAAACAGAGAGGCACTTCCTCCCTGTTTTTTCAAAAGTTACTTTTAAGGAATTGACTGTGGTGTCAGCTGCCTCTTTGCCTGTTCTGTTCCAGCTCAGTTGGCAAGGGAGGTGCATTCCACGGACTCTTAGCAAAACACCACATTGAAAACAAATAAATATGGGTGAGCCCCGCAGATAGGAGGGAGATGTCTGCAGGGCGGTGAAAGGTTCTTTTGTTAACAGCCCCAGCTGCTGGGCCCCAGGCAGGGACACGGTGGGGCTGCTCCTGAAGGAGAGACACACTTCAGAAAGCGAGCTGAGAAGTGGGGGTTTCCACCCCCTTCAAATGACAAACCGAAAACTCAACAAGGACATTTTTAGTTATGCAAGTGGTTTCTGAAGTGGTTCTTGTGGGCAACGTGTGAATTCTCAAGAGCTTCACCAGCCCACGATGTGGAAATCTGTGATTCAGCCGTGAGATGTGAGGCCTCCAGGAGCCCTTGGGGTCCCCGTGCCCCTTCCTGTGCCTCAGTGTAGAGCTGCTGCTGGTGGGCCCCAGGGGTAAGCCTGTTCCCAGAAGGGTTTCCACTCCGTCGATTGCCTCACAACACCCAGTGAGTGTCGCCAGTGTCCAGGCCACTCCTGAAGGGCCCCCAACATGGCGGCAGGGCGAGGATGGGACCCATCTGCCCTCAGCTCACAGCAATCACTTTCTCAGACCCACACGGGCCCTGGCAGAGCAGGGAACCGCTGGGCGGTTGGTTATCTGTTGAATTCTGGGCTTCTGGTGGTTCCAGCACCTCCTTCTCCTTGATGCCAGTCCCCGCCTGCCACCAGCCTGTTCCTTTCCAGATTCGTTCTTATTAAATCGTATGACCATCTACCTGCTTGCTCAAACCAAACACCCAGATGCCCTCCTTGGCCTCACCCGGTTCACATTACGCCCTCACCACTCTATTTCCCAAAGCACATCTTGGGTTATCCTACTTCCTGCCCCCCAACCACCCTGGCTGAGCCGCCATGACCTCTTGGGTGGATGTCTCCAAGAAGCTTCTAAACCACACTTTCTGCGTCCCGTGGTCCTCTGCCTCCGACAGTCCATAGGGCAGCCCCAGCAATCTCTAACTCAAATGCTGGGCTCTTGAAGCCCTCCGGTGGCTTCCCATTCCATGTTCAACCCAGTCCTGCCCCTTTCATGGCCTCTGGCCCGACCTGTTTCCAACCTCCTTTGCTTACCCTGTTCTGGCCACATCGGTTTTTCTATTCTCATCAACACCAGGCTCGTTTTTGCCTTAAGGATCTGGCGTTGTCCTGTGTGGTTCACTCTTCCTTCAGACGCCGGGATCCATCCAATCATTCAGCATCTGCTCCCATGTCACCTGTTCAGCCAAGATGTGCTTCCCTCACCGTCAACTACAGCCCTACATCTACACACTCCCCCTCCCCCCGGTCAAGAACACCAAGTGGCATTTTAGTTTAGTTTATTTAAAGCACTCATCAACGTTTTCAAATTTCTCACTTTTTGTGCACTTGTGTGTTTCTTTCCCCTGCCTCTCACCACTGGAATAGAAATTCCTTGAGGGCAGACACGGGTTTTTTTGTTGACGACTCCATCCCCAGTCATTGGAAGAGTATCTGGGGTACAGTAGATGCTCCGTAAATATTTAATGATACACAAATTCTCTGAGAGATGGTGGCAGATGGACACAGAGGGTGGGGAGCTCAGTCTGCTCTGTTGATGGATCGATGGGCACATGTGGAGGTAATCCACGGATTGCTGCTGCCTGGCCGAGCTGAATCTCTGTGAGGACATGGACACGTTAAAAAAGGTTTCATTGGGCGAATGGAGGCAGTGGTTGTAAGAAAGAAGGCGGGTGTTGAATTCTAGCTCATGACTTCTCAGTGTCCACAATCACATGAGCCAATTCTCTCTCTCCTCTGGACAACCCTAACTAATATACGTTCCCTCCCTCCCTCACCCCACAAATTTGTATGAACCCTGAATTTGATTCCATACAAGTTGATATGATGTGGCCTTTGTGCTCTGGGAACTAATAATCTAGTAAGAGAATGAAGATAAAGACACAAACACTCAGAATTCAAGGCAGAATTTAAGGCAGGTCACAGACAGGCATGATGCCCTGGGCGCTCAGAAAGGGAGGCTGACTGTGAAGTCGTTGGATAAGAGTATTAACTCAGGAGCCAGGCTGTCTGGGCTCAATCACCTGCTCCTCTTTTTATTACTTGTGTCGTCTTTGGCAAGTGATCTAATGGTCTGTGACTCCGTTTCCTTGCTTAAAAAATATAGAAACGATTAGTACCTACATTATAGGATTATCAGAAACACTAGATGAAACAATGCAAGTAAGACACTTCAAAAAGCACCTTAATATTGGGTTTCAGGTTGTGGGACGGAGGCTGGGGATATTGGCAGCAGTTGGCTTTCGGACGAAGAGGGGCAGGGGAGCTCCTGTGGCGTCGTGTGAAGAGGGAGCCGGAGGGGCAAGGGTGGGGACGGCTGGCCGCCTGGGAGATGCTCAGCTGGGACACAACAGGAAGGGGAAGGGGATGGTCATTTCGGGAAGCTATGTGGGGCCACAGTGGGGAGGGACGTATTAGTAAGTAACCTCTCCGGTGAGTTATCGTGTGTCACTGAGGACTTGGAAGCAGAGAGGTTGCTGAGATACCTTACTTTCTGCAAGAACTTTCCCGCTCAGAAATTCTGGGTGACATATAATGACTTGGCAAAACTCGTTTCTTTCCTTTTGCTCGATTTGGGTTTACTTTGCTGTTTCTTTTCTAGTTCCTTCACGTGGAAGCTCAGAGGACAGATTTGGGCCTGCACATTTCCCCCTCAGGCGGCACCCCACCAGTTCTCATAAGTCGGATTTTCATTTTCACCCAGTTGAAACTATTTTCTAGCTTCCGTTGAGCGTTCCTCTTTTACCTGTGGATTGGTTGGGAACGTGTTGTTTAAT